GGAGTTGCTGGATTCCTCTCAGGATTCTCCATTTGGATTTTCAAGGGTCCATCCTCAAGCACCATCCACATGCAGTCATGTAGAGCGTAGAGATGTGCTTCCATCTTGATCTTCCAATCATCATAACCTAAGAGAGAAAACTTGGTCAAACCGTGATCCATATTGTTCACCATTATGATCGCTTCTCGTTAATCTAAACGTAGATAGTGAGAAGTTAGCTCCGATACCAATTGGTGGTCCCAAAGTGGTGAAATACAAAGTCTAGAGGGGGGGGGGGGTGAATAGACTTTGTTACAGATTTAAAATCTTTTTCGTTTCTTTTGAAAACGTGAAAATGAGTGTTAATCTAGAGTCCTTGTGAACTTTAGATTGTGTGCGGAATTTGGTGGGTAGAGTGAGCAGTAATCAAGAACTTGGTTTTAACAATATTTCTAAAAAAAATTACATTGAATATTGGGGGAGACCTAAAGTCCCTATTACATTTTAAATACATCATCATCAAAATCTATAATATTTTTCCCAACATCTACTTTGCTCGACCATGGGCCTTTATTGGGCCTGGAGTCGGGTCTATCAGACCCGATATCCATCACAAGCCCCCTAGTTTTCTGGCGACGTGTCGCAAGAAAACTAATGATGAGCCGCCTTTGGTTTTCATGTCGGATTATAAACGTCGCACTTGAGTGCCTTGGGTCCTTCCTTACAACGGAGATAACCCCTTCTGGACTCTTCTTCTTCTTCCCTCACTGCCGAATCTTGACCCGACCCGAATTCCGACTGCAATTGCCCCCAAATTCTCGTTTCCTTCTCCGAAATGGCCTCCTCTACAGATCCCGCAACCTGGGTCCATGAATCCTCTATCATCAAGGAGGATGAACTTCGAGAAGTGGCCGAACTTTTGGGCAGAGGCTTCCGGGTCCACAATCTCGATGCTGTCGGAGGAATTAGCCTATCTCACAATCCAAACCCCCAGAAGTATATGGTCATGCACTATCACTCTATGGAGAATGGGTTCAGATTACCCCTCCGCGGTTTGGTTCGCGACATCTGCCGCCATTTTGGGTTTGCCCCAGGCCAATTGACTGCAAATGCGCATAAGTATGTCGCGTCCTACATCTTGCGGTACTGTGCCCTGAATAGAACCCCAACACTAGACGAATTCCTCATCCTTTTCAGCATTGGTGGGCCTTTTCCCTATTACAGCTTGTTCCCTCATCCCCAAGCTCCAATTTTTGAGAGGGTTGAGTTAAAAATCAACAAGTGGGCACGCCGCTATTTCGTCATCGAATTCCCAGTCCACAGCCCTATAGATTTGCCGGGTACTGTACGCCGTAGCTCTATCTCCCGAACACCGTTCGCTGCTATACCCCTGGCGGAGGCGGCATACAGTGTCCTGAGAGAGGAAGGGGGTTTGATTCCACATCACTCCCTTCAAGAAGCCAGGCTATACAAGAAGGCGGATTTTTATTACCCTCTCGGCCCTGACCCCATCCCATTTGAAGGGGTATCTTCCCCCGAAAGGTCGAAGGCTCCCCCATTGTGGAATACCATCCAGCCGAGAGCTCTTCCGGGAACCAGGCCCAAGGTAACTCTACTGCTTTGGCTATCTGCAAGCCAGCTGCTGCCCTGGAGGCTGTTCCCATTTCTGCTATTCCTGGGTTGAGGAAGCCTACACCGTCCCAAAAACGGCCACGGGAAGGGGTCACTGATGATGATTTCCTTCCCAAGAAGAATAAGGGTGAGGGTACTCCTGCTTCGCCCAGCCCCCTGGCTGCCTCTTCTGGTACTACCCAGAATACCACTCCTGTTCCTGCATCCGGAGGTTTGGAGTTACCCAACCCGGATAGCTTGGACCGAGAGGCAGATGAACTTCCTAACCAAGCACCACTCAAAAGACCAGCGGTGCAGCCCCAGCCCGTGGTGAACAATACCTCCCAACCAACTGCAGCTACTTCCCAAGGGGTAGATGAAGGAACTGAGCGGTAGACGAAAACGGAGGCTTCCCCAGTAATGGAGGAAGAGGTTGGAGGGGAGAAAGAAACGGAAGCTTCTGCAAAGACGGAGAGAGAGATTGAGAAACAGCAGGAACCGGAGGAGCAGCGTTCCGCCGCAACACCCCCAAGCCTTCAATCTCCCCATGCGGCGCAAGTTCACGCCGCAATCCTACCCTGCCTTCAAGGAAGGTTGGGCAGGGTTCTCTCGCGGTTTGAACTCCCTACAGGCCTCCCACTGGAGCAGGTACTCTTCTGGAGCAGGTACTCTTCTCCCTCAATGCCTTGCATTCCATGGAGCAGGTACTCTTCTCCTTCAAAAACGTCTTATTTCTTTTGTAGTTATCCCCTTTCTTGACATCTCTTTCTCCCTTCCAGGCCCAACAATCCCTCCTCACCCTGACCGAGGAATACCTGGGTGGAGCATGGGGAAATTATCGGGCCATGGTGGTCCTGAAGGAAAAAGAGATGGCAGCCAGGGCTCTGCAACTGAAAGTTGATTCCCTAGAACAACAAGTCCAAGTTCTTCAAGAAGAGAATGTTAGAATAAAGGCCCAACGCTAGAGGGGGGTGAATAGCGTTTAAAACAAAATCGCAGGAAATTAAAAACAAGAGTGATAAAGTAAAGAGCGTAAGAAGGAGCACACCGAATTTTATCCTGGTTCACCACAACGTGTGGCTAATCCAGCCTTTCGAGAGACTCTCTCGAGTTACACTAACTCCGTTAAGCTTAAAGGTGCTCAACAAACCGATACAACTTGAGAACTCGAGTCACACGAGCCTCAACGCCTTTGCTTGGAGATACCGCACTCCAAGACTTTTCACAAAGGAACGAAAGACTTCCTTCGAGTTTACAACAAGGGAACAACCTCCCTTAAAGTGTATACAAACACTTTAACACTCAAGAATAAAACTCTCACAAAGAGTAGATATGAGTGAACTAGTAAACGCTCAAGAACACGACAATTTCTTCACGAATTGGCTCTCAAATAGCTAAGAAAAATATGAATGCTTATGCAATGAAAGAGTATTGAAATGTTGAAGAATTCACACATTTTACTCTCCTAAACCCACGGTAAAATATCGGGTTTTACCCTATTTGGGCAACGATCTCAAAGGTTGTCCTACTTCTGTTTAAAAAGTCCCTGTGTCCGACTATCAGCTAATAGGTTCGAACTATTAGCTAATAGTTTTCTAAGGAACAGGTTTTTAAATTTTAAGATTCCGTTGGAGGACAACGGTAACCCCGATAATCGATTGTCAACAAGTGATAATCGATTATTGGTCCTCTTAGAAGATTCTGGGTTTTGGCTGCAAAGACTGATAATCGATTATTGCATAAGTGATAATCGATTATTGCGTGCTTCAGAACTTTGGAAGTTCAAAGCTGCAGGGGCTGATAGTCGATTGTCACTAAGGTGATAATTGATTATCACCCAGCTAAAGTCTAGCCAGCTGAAACCCGTTTTGAAAAACCGAGGTCCAAAAACAAAGTGTTCCCAAAAGTAAAAACCAGGTTTGAAAAACATTGTATATGGTATAAAATAGTGAACACAATACTTGTTTGGTAAAAACCAAGTCTCCAAGGTCGTACAATATGTGTGTACGGTTTTGACCGTTTTTCACGTGTTAGACCAATTGACCAAGATAAAAAGGTGGTTTTTATAAAATAATTATTTGGGAACATTTTAAAAATGCTCAGAGGTAAAAACAGGGTTTAAAATATTGAAAACCACGGAGTTGGTTCGGGCGCCAAAAACCGAACGCCGAAAGTGTTAGAATAAGAGACTAACGCTAGAGGGGGGGTGAATAGCGTTTGATCAAAAATCGCAGGAATAAAAAAATTAATAAATGAGAAGTAAAGAAAAGAGTAAGAGGCACACCGATTTTACACTGGTTTACCACAACTTGTGGCTAATCCAGCCTCCCGAGAGACTCTCTCGAGCTACACTACTACCTCGTTAAGCTTAACGGTGCTTAACAAACCCGTACAACTGTAGAATTCGAGTCACACGAACCTCAACGAACCTTCGAAGGAAACAGCCCTTCCTTCGAACAACAAGAGAAATACCTTCTCTTGCCAAGTGTTTAAGAACACTAAAAACACTCAAAAACAATACTCTCTTTTAGAGTGGATAATGAGTAAACTAAGAACGCTCAAGAACACAACACAAGCTTCACAAAAAATGGCTCTCAAAAGCTATGAATAATTGAAGAATGATTTGCAATGAAAGAGTAGGAGTTGTGAAGTAATGTGATGTGTAAAACAGACCCAAACACCCCATTTTATTGTAGAAAAATAGGCTCCAACAGACCAAAGTATTTAAGGGGTGATCGGCACAATTTTTGGGATTTGACGAAAATTGGATCTGTTGAAATTCACCCAGACAACGCTGTCCTAGGCTTGGACATCGCTGTTCTAGGCTTGCGTTTTGAAAAATGGGAAGCAACGGTCATGCCAACGGCGATGTCTAAAATCCCTACATCGCTGTTTTGGCTGTTGACTTCCAAACAAGGAAAGTTTTAGCCTTAAATTCCTTCCAACGGTCAGGTCTCTACATCGATGTTCCATACTAGAACATCGCTGTTTAGGTCTGCCTTTGAAGGTGGAGTTTTGGCGTGACAGCGTTGTTGCTGGGTCAACATCGCTGTCCTGAAACTTTCTGCCAATGCAGTATATTTTTGGCTTAGGTTGGACAGCGCTGTAGGGAGGTACATCACTGTTCCAGAAGTTTCTGGAAATCCAACCTTGGCTCAACAGCGATGTCTAACATCCAACATCGCTGTTGGAAGACTTAACGCCAAACCATGTTTTTAGCTACCCAAGCCAGACAGCGCTGTTGGTTACCTCAACATCGCTGTTGGGCTGGTTTAGCCAGACCCATGGTTGGTTTAGTCACGCCGTTAGCCGATGTCAAAAACACAAGTTATCCAAAGTAAAAACCAAGTATTGAAAACATTTTTTATTGCATTTTGCTAAGAAATCAAGTAAAACATTTTAAAAACCACGTCATTTAGTTGAAAACCACGACTAACCAAGTTCGTGCCGTTTAGCATGGTTTTCACTAAACGACCAAAAACGGAAAGTGGTTTTTGAGGCGTTTTTGTTGGAGAACTATTTAAATATGCCCAGAAGAAAAAACCAATCATAAAAAGTTAAAAACCACTTGGTTGGTTCGGATGCCCAAAAACCAATGCTGAAAACCGAAAGCTGAACGTCGGTTTCTGAAAGCCGAACGCTGGATGACTTGGTTTTTGGTTTGGGCGAACTCCAAGTGTTTTTAGCCAGGTTTGAAAACTTATGAAAAACATTTTTGAATTTGCAAAAAGGGTTTTGATGAATTGAGCTTAGAGAGCCAAGATTTGGAAGTTTGTGCCGGTCTCGATCACATTAAGACCGACTCGATGCAATTCTAATTCTTCGCTCTTGATTCTTGGTTCTTGGTTCTCCGTTCATCATGCCATGTTCCTTCGCCTTGGTTTTGCTCAGTTTAACCTTGTTATTGTCACGGCGGTTTGGCATTATCAAAACCTGTCATAAAACGAACACTGCTTAGTACGACATAGGCGTAAACCCGTGTTCCAACAGAAAGCCGAAAGCCGAAAGCCGAACGCCGAACGCCGTCTTAGGTGGTTTCGGTTCCAAGCAAGGACCAGGGATTTTAACATTAAAAAAATCATCAAAAATATTTGTTTTGATGTACAAAAAAATATTTTATGATTTGTAAAAATGTTTTTGACTCTTTGAGAACCGAGACTTGAATTTATTGTCGGTTCTGATCACAAAAGACCGACTCGACTAAGTCTTCAATTCTTGATCTTGTCCTTGAGTCTTTTTGGTCTTGTTCCAAGCCATTCATCATGCCTTGAGTTATTCAACGAAACTCTTCGTATCCACGGCGGTTTGGCAATTATCAAAACCTGTCAGAAATGAACACGACTTTAGTTTATCGTACAAAGTGTGTTACAACAATTTCCCCCTTTTTGATAATGGCAAACAAGACGGGGATATGCATAGGGTTTTGATCTTTTTGAAAAAAATTCCCCCTTAATAAAAAATTCCCCCTTAATATATGCATAGCCCTTATCTTCCCCCTTTTGACATTAACAAAAAAATTTAATAACAAAAACCATAAAGATTTTTATTAATTATTTAAGGGAAATAGCGGAGTACATAACGAAATCATATTAAAAGATGATAAAGTAAGGAAGAGAAGAAAGTAGAGCTAGAGCTCTAGAAATCCGGGGAAAGATCATTGAGAAGTTGTTCATCGTCAATGTCTTCTTCTTCTTCTTCTTCATCACCATCGCCATCATCATCATCGGCTTCTTCTTCTTCTTCATCACCATCGCCATCATCATCATCGGCTTCTTCTTCTTCTTCGTCTTCGTCCACCGCGTCGTCCCTACCAACGTTTTGAGTCGCACTCTGTTCACCTCTGAAATTCGGAGGAACGTAGGCGACCATTTGAGCGTACGGGTAATTGACAAAGTCAAAATACCCGTGAAGCTCACGGCTCAAGATATTGACGTTGTGTGCCGTTTTGGAGACGTTGGTGTCTATTCGAGAGTGGGTGGTGGTCAAAGCCGCCATTTGCTCGGCAAGAGAAGGGTTGGTTGAAGCGGCGGCGGTCGAGGCAGTGGCTCTCGATTGGCGGTGAGGACGACGCTGCGGGAAGGAAGGAAGACTCGTCAATCTCATCGGTTCCCGGGTGGAAGGAAGACTCGTCAATCTCCTAATGCTTTGTTCCTTTGCATTTTCGCCCGACGTACGTCTTGATGTGGAACTCATCAAGGACCGCCATGACAAGGAGAGCATAAGGGAGCGGCCAGTTGTCGGAGGTGGCGTTGAACATGTGAGTCATCACAAATTTACACCAATTGATATTGGCGTTGTGAATCATCACATGAATTGTCTTCGTGTCCTCCTGGGAGAGAGTGGTGTGATTGAACTTCCTAGGCTTGAGAATCCGTGTCAAAACATAAAAAATGAATCGAAACACGGGACTCATGGAAGCAATCGTAGGGCGCCGCTGTTGGGGAGTGGGGACGAAGTGTCGGATGCCCACTTCCTCCAAGAGAGCAGTCTCATTAAACCGCGCTCCTTCTTCTCCGACGTAGAGCCCGAGATCCTGTCCGTCCCGACGAAGCCCGGTGAGGATTTGAATGTTTTCCTCATTCAAGTAAATGTCCACCCCGTTGACGTTAGAGATCAACGCTCCGTCCTCATCCTTTTTCAAGTTCGAGTAGAAAGCTCGAACAAGAAAGGGGTGATAATGAGCCTTCTTGATGTAGAGGAGGTCGAGGAAGTTTCCACGTTCGAGGATAACTCGTGCCTCACGTGGAATGGAGTCATGAATGAAGCGGGCGGTGGAGAATCGGGGAGGGAGAATTTCCCGGTGCTCAAACTTCTCCGAGAACTACGTCGCCTCTGCGCGGTCGTTGAACCAAAGGAACGACCCATCGAGGTACTTGTGCGCCGGTGGTGGAGTAGGAGCCGAGGAGGAAGAAACATTCTTCTCGGTGCGAGATTGTTTTCTTTGACCTCCTGCCATTTCAACAAAGTAGAGAGGGATAGCAAGACAAAAAGAAGAGAAATTTGCAAGGATTTTGCAAAAACACTGAAGAATAATTGCAAGAA